AAAACTTATCAAGAAAAAATTATCAAATACTATCATTTTGGCACGAAATGTAAATTATCTTTTGTTCCCAATGATGAAGAAGATGCAAAAGATAACGTTATCATTATTGAATGGTATGAAGAAGAAGAAGAAGAAAAGAAAAGATGAAATAACGAAAAAGAAGAAAATGATAATTTAATTATTTTAAAATTTCATGAAATTTCCAAAAAAAAAAAAAAATAAATCGTTCAACATATGAAAATTAAAAAGCAAAAAATGAATCATTTTAGATTTGTTAAAATTTTGCCACTAAATCATTAATTAATAAATTTTTAGAAAAAATATGTTTCCAAAGAATTGAGGAAATAATGATTTTATATTTTTTAGAATTTTTACTTTTCTGTTTAAATTTTTAGCTTTAAAATGATTTCGGATAACTTTCTGGCTTTTTTTTTCTTTTTTCTTTTTTTCATTACGAATATAGTTAGCAGAATTAACTGTATTATATTCAAAATAATATGCATAATTACAGCAATATAATTGTTTTAAATATATATGTGTGTGTATGTGTTTTGAGAGTATTTGAGAAAATTATAAGCAATTTATGAGATTAAAAAATTAATGAATTTTATTTGCGATAATTTGAATGGTTGATTGTTTAATTAGGATTTAAAAAATGCGTTTTTTTATTTTCTGAAAATTTAAAAAAAATTTTAAAATATGCTAAAATATGATATAAAACTTATCGTGATAAGTCTTTATCAAATGTTTCAAAATTTACAATTTACATATCAATAATTTACATATCAATTTTAATTAATTTAATTAAATTTTAATTAATTTAAATTTACATATCAATTTTAATTAATTTAATTATAATTTACATATCAATTTTAATTAATATATGATAGAAAAAAAAAGATCACCGATTACACGGCATTTTCATAGTGATAAAAACTTTAAATGCATCAGGTATTGGTCAAAATTTGAAATGTTATAACAATCCACTAATTATATTTATTCATTACAAAATTAATTATGCAATATAAATGAATTCTGTTATTATCCATTATTGATTAGATATGATCATAAATTTTCTCATTACTTAGAAAATGAATATGAAAAAAAAAGATTTTACGGAAAATATAATAATCGTACATATTACCAATTGGATAATAATTAAACATAGAATATTTCACATTTTTTTTCTTTTTCTTTCATTTTTGAATTATTTTTGAAATGATTGTGGAAATTTAAACAATTGTCAAAATTAGTTTCAAATTTATGCAACGATATTTCGCAGACAAAATTTTACAAATTTTGTTTTTTATTTTGTGAAAAATTCGTGACAATTGTCAAAATGCTTATTATGAATTGATTGACTACCACTGATAATGATGATAATTTAAAAGCATTCATTCAACATTGTTAACCAATGGTATCATAATTACTTAGCCTGAAAATTTGACCATTTGAACAGGCCTTATTTTGTTTGTTCAATGGATATCATTAAATAGTTTTAGCTTAACACAGAGATCAGCATATATATTCATTTTATCATTCGATATTGTATTCTTCTACCAGAATGTTTCATTTGTTATTCATCAAATAATAATTTAAAAAAATATAAAAATTAATTTTTACTTCATTTGCATACTATTAAAAATTATTTAAACTAATTAGAATTTTGGAATTAGCAATAATGAATTAGAATTAGCAATTTCCATTTTCCTTTTCTTTTTCTTTCTTTTTTTTCTCGTGATATATCAAAATTAATTGATTTCATTAAATAACTTACCTTCTGATAATCTACAATGATCATTGCTCTTTGTCCCGATAATAATGGAAAGAATGGATTGTTGGAATTTGCAAAAGGTATGGATAAAAAAAGGAGGTTAAATGAAATCTACGACAAATCATACTTTTGAAAATTAATTAGTCAAAAGGTAAAAAAAAAAAAAAAAGACGAAAAAGATTTTTTACATACTATCATATCATCAAAATCTTGAAATGGTTCAGGAGGTTTCATAATTTCTTTTCTTTTTTTCTTGTATTATCAAACGGCATTGTTATCAGTTACTATCAAATCATCGAAATATTTCAAATGTAAATTTTAATTTGTATTCCAGATTGACTGAACTGATTTAGATCCTTTGT